TGACATCTGTGAACTCACCTTGATCTCAGCCACCCTGGAGGAGAAGAGAGAGCGCGTGATGTCTCTCTCCATGTCCCGCTTGCTCTTTTTGCTGTCAGCCTGTTGGCCTCCCCCTCCGTACACCGCGCCAGCAAATCCCACCTCTCCCCCCGCAGTCCAGTCCACCAGAGGGTCGTACACGAAGGCCTCCAGCAGCGTCAGTAAGGTCTCTCTGCCTCGCCGCATTATCTGAACCACCTGGAAACACACATCCCACTTTTGACTTCCATCCTGTCACAACAGCCGACAGCTCTAACATCGAACATCTCCACGTGCTGCAGCAGCTTGGCACACGTCCATGCTTCAGTGCATGGGAAACATCCCGAGGTACAAACTGTCACTCCATCTACTGGTTCATTTTACCTTTATTATTCTAAACTGTGCATAAAGCCACTCGTCTCAATATTTATCAATTACAGTGGGAATACTGTCCAATCGTGACCTTTAGGGAAAACAGTCATCTCAGGCTCATGTGTTCATTTTATAAGCTCCAACATATTGAATACTTTGAACTCGCTTCATCTCTTCAGCGCAACAGCAGCAAGAGATGAAGATCCTTATTGTAGCAGCAGAGGTGGACGGTGGTATGTATACCTGCCACTGTGACTATGCTACATGAGTCCAATCTGTTACCAGGTGTGTGAGAAATGCTACTGATGATACCATAGATGGCTGTGTTTTAGGTACCCGTACAAATGGTTTTACATGCAGTGTGATGTGAGAGTGACCTGTTCACAGGACAGCCTGAAGATGCCCTCCACCCCGGTGACTCCCAGAGCCATCTCGATGTTGTGGGTCATCCTGAACGGGACCTTCTCCGGCACTCGCAGGCTTTTCCCTGCAACACAGGAAAACGAGCAGGTCACCCACTACATGTAAAATCGATACTGTTACACGCTAGCAGCCAGAAATAGCCCCTCAGCTGGGTTTCCTGCAACATCTCAGCGTGTGACAAAGAGCTTTGAGTCATATTATGGGGACTGTGGAGGCAAAGAGCTTTATTATATCTGCACAGAACAGGCTGACGAACTGTTGTGAGCACTGGAAGTGTACGGGAACACCTGAATAAGATTGCACTCATCCTTATCCATGTGTGAGGGGTGTTCACCTCCTTCTGTCACATGCAGCACAATTGTTTTTACCTTTTAATAAACGTGGTTCTTAACGATTCTCT